AGACTGTATCCTTTGATCCCAGAAACCGGTTTGTCCCATCCATTTTCTTCACCATGAGCATTCACTTGGGCTGATTCCTCCCAGCTGCTGCACTGTTTGCTCTTGAAGAGGAGCACGGGGGTGATACAGCGTGTTTAGCTCTTGTGCTGTCTTTCCCTTACTCCAGCTTTTGGGTATTTCCTGGAAAATTTTTCTTCCTAACTCTGTCCCAGCTGAAACCAGGACAGCTGTTTGGAATAACATGCGCAGCGTGGCCCATCTGCTGTCGTTTGTGCATCGTTTCTTTTGCTGTGGTGGCTCTGGTGGCTCAGGGAAGGTGTCCAAGTTGCACAAGGGCTTCTGTCTCCAGCGTGAGCAGCAGGTAGTGGAGACAAAAACGTGCAAAGATTGTGTCAGTGCAAGAGCTGCAACGTTTTTCTTTCATGTTTCAAGAGGAAAGTTGTGGGGTTTGTAATGGGAGCCCTTGGACTCCTTGTCTGTCTATACTAGAGTATTGCTGGTCCTGGAATGGAATTTGTCCGGTATCTGTGGGATAGGATTTTCAGTCTTGTGTATAAATATTCTCAGGGAATTTAGACAGTGGCTTTTTGGGGCTGAGAGCGCGCTGATATTCCCTAACTGGTGGCCTAGGGGACACACGCCATGTGCTCACTGGTTCTGCAGACAACAGCTGTCGGCTCTGGGACTGTGAAACTGGTAAGCCTCTATAAAACCAGTAAAACTCTCTATAAACACATAGCTGTGCTGGGGTCACAGCTCTGCCCTGCTGCCTGCTGCGCTTGGAGTGTGTGGTGCCGTGTGCTTGTTCACCCCTCTGGAAGAGGTCTGGGTCTGGACTGGGACTACTGGAGGGGAGCGTTTGTGTGCGTGCTGGTTTCTCAGGAATACTGAGTGAATTTCCTCCCTTCACCGCCCGAGCAGAACGTGCAGTCCCTGCCCGTGGGCTGCATGCAGTGCGCTCGTCCTCCCTCGCAGCGAGAGGCTCCGCGCAGTGACGGCGTCTGCTCTGTATTCAGGGAAGCAGCTCGCGCTGGTGAAGACCAGCTCAGCGGTGAGAACGTGTGGCTTCGACTTTGGAGGAAACATCATCATGTTTTCCACGGACAAGCAGATGGGGTATCAGTGCTTCGTGAGCTTCTTTGACCTCCGGGACCCCAGCCAGATCGGTGAGGGATCCGGGCCAGCGCCTGCACGAGGGAATAAGGGGAAGCGTTGACCGCCAGAGCCGGTGCCACTGTGTCTATCTGTCTGTCTGTCTCCTTCCTTCCTGCAGAGAACAACGAGCCTTACATGAAAATCCCCTGCAGTGATTCTAAAATCACGAGTGCTGTGTGGGGCCCTCTGGGAGAGTTCATCATCGCAGGACATGAGAGCGGAGAGCTAAACCAGTTCAGTGCCAAGGTCAGTCCGATAAGGAACAGCATCTCCCTCGGGCAGCAGTGCCTGGGGGAGGGTATCGCAGTGTTCCTGTCGTGCTCATAGAATCACAGAATGGTTTGGGTTGGAAGGGACCTCAAAGACCATCCAGTTCCAACCCCCCTGCCATGGGCAGGAACACCTTCCACTACACCAGGTTGCCCAAAGCCTCATCCAGCCTGGCCTTGGACACTTCCAGGGATGGGGCATCTACAGTTTCTCTGGGCAACCTGTGCCAGTGCCTCACCACCCTCAGAGTGAAAAATTTCTTCCTTATATCCAATCTAAATCTGCCCTCTTTCAGTTTAAATCCATTGCCCCATGTCCTGTCACTACACGCCCTTGGAAAAAGTCCCTCTCCAGCTTTCCTGGATCTGTCATGGGACAGAATAGGAGATTTTTGGCTCAAACCAGCAGCCTCATGGAAGGACAGTTGAAGTATGCAGCTCCCTTGAGCAAGGCTGATGTACCAACATCTGCCCCGCTGCTGCCAGCGACATCTCCTGAGTCGTTTTTAGTGGAGAAGTTATGTGCACGCTCACTCCACGTGCCAGCACGTTGAAACCGCTTCCTTCACCCTTCAGTCAGGGGAGCAGCTTTCAAACATCAAGGAGCACACCAAGCAAATCAACGACATCCAGACCTCCAGGGACATGACCATGTTCATCACAGCCTCCAAGGACAACACGGCCAAGGTGAGGCCTCCCGTCAGAAATGCAGCTGGCAGGAGCTCTGCCCAGAGCCGTGCCTGTCACAGAGGTTGGCTCCTCAGGAATTTGGGGAAGTGTAAAGTCAAAGCTTAGTGGGAAAGTTCCGTGAGAAAGGAGAGGCACCACCACGTTCAATTAAGAGCCAGGCACTGGAAACATTACCAAAATTAAGGCTGCAGTTTGCTACCTCGGGAAGATGATAGAGGTGGGAGTTACTTTCGGACAGTATTTTGGGATTCTGGGCAAATGTTTTTGAGGTTTGAGTAGAGCTCGCAGCCGGATTTGGGTGAGCTAAGGGTGCTGCCAGCCCTTCCGCAGAACAACTCTCTCCTCGTTGCCTCGTAGCTGTTTGACTGCACGACGCTGGAGCATTTGAAGACGTTCCGGACGGAGCGACCAGTGAACTCTGCCGCACTCTCCCCCATTTTCGATCACGTAAGGATGAGCGTGCTCGTTGGAATGGTCCGACGGTGACTCCTGCCTTGTCCCAGGAAGCTGGAAGGCAGAGTGGCACCAGTCCCGCTAAAAAACAGGACCGTGGGATGGGATGGGGGACCTTGGCCATGGGATGGGATGGAGGAACTCGACTGTGGGATGGATCGGGCGAACTTGGCCATGAGATGGATCGGGGGAACTTGACTGCGGTCTGGTGCAGAGAACAAGGCTTTGTGTCCTCTGATCTTAACGAAGCGTGGCTGGGAGGTGGGAACTTCTCCAGGGCTGGACTCAGCCCTGCTCCTGAGTTTCTGGGATCAGCTGGGATAGGAGGAGGCTTCCCCAAGGCTTGGCTCCCTCTGTCTGCAGCTGAGCACGGTGTAAGCAGCACTGAAGTGCTGTGGCTTCTCTCCTTTGCAGGTCGTGCTTGGTGGCGGGCAGGAGGCCATGGATGTGACCACAACCTCCACCAGGATTGGCAAATTTGAGGCGAGGTTAGTCCTTTTCCTCTGGCAGGGTCAAGTCCTCACCTGGAGGACTGGTGACAGCCTAGGAGTGCTTCTCCTAGTGCATCTTTCTCCTGGCAGTGTTGGAGGAGTCATTAAACTTGAAGAGCTTTTTTAAGGAAACCCTGATTGTGTCCCTAACCAGGCTCCCAACTTCTCGAGACGATTTAAATCTTCTTTCTCCCAGGTTCTTCCACTTGGCTTTTGAAGAAGAGTTTGGCAGAGTGAAGGGTCACTTTGGTCCGATAAACAGCGTTGCTTTTCACCCTGATGGGAAGAGGTGAGGATCTCTTGCAGTGTGCCCCAGTCCAGCCCAGCTTGCTTTTTGGTTGGGACATGGCTGGGCTGACGTGAGCTGTGCAGTGGGAATGGAGCTGGCACCGTCCTGAACTCTCCCACTCCCGCCCTGCTGCCTCCACCCGGGCTGGCCGCGGGGTTCACACTCACGCCCTGTTGCACATTTTTTGGTGTCCCGTGACTCCTTTGTTAGTTTTTGGAGGGGACTGTGAGAACTGGCTCCGCTGCTGGTATAATCCTGGGCACCGTGAGCTTCTGACAACGTCGGTGACTCTGTCCTTTCTTCCCTCCTGCGCAGTTACAGCAGTGGGGGCGAGGACGGCTACGTCCGCATCCATTACTTCGACCCCCAGTACTTCGAGTTCGAGTTTGAAGCTTAAAGGAGCTTCCTCCCCTCTCCTCTTCCCTGTTCTCCTTCACGCCGTCGGCTCCTGGGCAGAGCTGTTGTAAGGCATGAAGTCGGTCCACTCCACAGGAGGCAGCAGGAAGCAGCTGGTAGCAGTCTCGGGGGGCTGTGTGAAGGTGGGGAACTAGAAACCCAACCAGCTCAGAAGGGCAGGACTGGTTTTCACGGGGGGTCGGGAAGGTGGGGAAGGGAGGGCCTGCCCTGGGGGATGCTTCCTGCACTGCTGGGTGTATTTATACATCGCGGGAGAAAAAAAAAATCATCAGGGAATAAATAGAAATCTTTTATAAACACAAGAAAAAGCATCTCCGTGGGGTTTTTGTTGTTTTGGTGGGTTTTTTTTGGTCTGGAACAAATTTAAGCTGAGTGCTTTGCTTTCCTGGCTCTGTTGGCAGTGCCTCGCTGCCCACCTTGGGCAGGCAGCAGGGGTGTTCCTCCCAGGGCCTCTGGCTGCTGCAGGGCGGCCGATCTGTACCTACGGATCAGGTCGGGCCCTGAAGTGTGAACAGGTTGGAAGTGCAGCAGCCAGGCATTGTTTTCCAGATGACACGCACGCGCCCAGTTCTGGGGCTTTGTTTATTTGCTGGACTTGACCCTGAGCCAGCTTTCCTCATGGAACAGTTATTTCCTGCACTAGTACTCCTGTGCTGCCAATCCTCGCCCTTCCAGCCCTCTCGCCCTGTGCCTGTCTGTCTGGAAGGGATGGTTTGTATCTCTTTCCTTCCTCCAAACTGGGTTCAAGGAGAGATTTCCTGGCCTGGCTCCCAGTTTGGAGTGACTGACTGCTCTTTGTGGAGAGTGCTGCAGGTTCAGCGTGTTCTGCTGAGTTTTGCTGGGCTGTGCCAGGCAGGGGCTGCGAGCCAGGCACGCCGCGGTGGCAGCTGCTGGGCACATCTGCCTCCTGCTGCCTCCTGCCCTTCTGCTCCGCCGCAGTCCAGGTACGAGCGCTGCTGAAATCCCGCGGGAAGGAGCCCTGCGTGCCAGGGAGCGGGGCTGCTCCCGCCCCTACGCAAGAGCGGAAAAGCAGGCATGGGCTGGGAGAGAGACCACTTTACTGGAACAGGCTCAGTCTGTGCAGCCCAGAGGCTGCGAAAGGGACTCTGTCCCCCCTCCCAGGGATGTCCTCGGGTTCCGTGGGGCCCATGTCCTGCGCTTTTTCCCACAGAAAGCCCCAGTGTCACCTTGGCCCAGCAGCCCGCGGGGATGGGGGGAAGTTGCCTACGCTGCCGTTCATCTTTCATTCTCCGTCCGGGCAGCGGGCTCGGAGAGGGACTGGCTCAGCCTGTTCTCTGCGCTCTCCTTCATGGGGGGGTCGTTGCCTTCTACTAAGCGCTGGATCTCCGCCCAGGCCTCGTCCAGGTGCTGGGATGAACGGATCCATCGGAAGAATAAGCCTGGGAGAGAAGGAAGGGGCTGTGTGTCACTTCAGTCGTGCCGTGGCCCTGTCGAGGGGGAAGAGCAGAGCAGCTTTCTCTCACCCAGCCCAGCTCGGAGCTGAAGATGGGTTTGGAGAGCGCCGGAGCCGGCTTACCCTGCCAGAGCTGGATGCTCTGGGGCTCAACGGAGGGCCAGATGACCAGGGCGTTGTGCGAGTAGAGAGGGTTCAGGTACTTCTCCTTCTCCCCAGGCTGGTTCAGCCAGGCCCAGAGGGAATGCGTCCTCTCCTTCACTTTACACAGGCACCTACGGGACAGTTGAGACACGTTTCAGTCTCTGCCAGGGGTTGTGGGGCCAAGTTTGACCCAGGTTGTGACCTGGAGAGCTTCCTTCTGCCCTATCCGGCAGCGTGAAGGCAGGGGCTGACCCTGCCCTGGCTGCACCGGGTCTGCCCCAAGGGCACAGTGGTGACCGTGGCATCGCTCCTAGGGGACAGTGCTGTCCCCACCTCCCACCCCGCTCACCTCTCCTTCTCGTTGCTGCAGAGGAAGGTGCCGTAGGCAGAGGCGTAGGCGTTGTCAAAGAGGGTGAGGAGAAGGCACTCGCCAAACTCCAGGGAGAAGGGGAACTGGCGGCTCAGCTGCCACACGCAGTCGAGGAAGAGGAGGAAAAGCGGCGCCTCCTGCTTCAGCCGGGCATGGGAGTAGGCAGAGCGGGCGCAGCGGAGGTGGAAGGGATGGCCAGCCTGCAGGACCCCCCGAGGGCGAATAATGAGGGTGAAGGGGAGTGGGGAGTGTCCAGCCAGGCTGGGATCTCCAGCCCTCTTGGGACCACCAACCTCACCTCGATCCACTCCCGCTCCAGCAGCCCCTGGAAGCCCACCAGCGTGCGGCAGGACGGGCACAGGATCACCC